CCACTTATTAAAAAGTACCTGATGTTCAAAACCAATGTAGAAATACTTTTAGAGCTAAGTATGCTTTGCTTAAGGGTGAGTGTCTGCACTTCAAGACAAAGCTGAAAGATAAAATAAGTGGTTTTTCAAGGCTGTGTGTGGTGCCACAAGCTTTATGTCTGAATCAATGCAAACCATCAGAAGGAATCATTTGGTTTTTATGTAGTATATACTACCCCATGGATGTTATCCTAGTTTTACTCTGTAGCAGGATGTATAGGCAATCACATATATCACAGATATACAAATACAATATAAGACAAATCACATACGATAGAAAGACAATAACTTAATCTGCCAATTTTGTTTTGGAAACAGTTTATCTACTGGTGCAAATCCATCCACTGTGAATAACTTCACTTACCTGTCCAAGCTGGCAAGTGGGCTCATCAGTGCTCAACTGAAACAGTGTTAAAGATTAACACTTTTTTTTTTATTTCAGGATTTGTAAAATGGATTTCTTGGCAAAATGGCCATCTGCCATGTATTTTATCCAGGGCAGCATAACATCAAATGGTGACTTTAGTTTTAAACATATGAATTTTCTTTCTAATAAAATTACTGGAATTTTAAAAATTTCATTAATTTAATGTACCAGTGTGAAATATTCTGGAGTAATGTGAAAACACAAGGGACACTCTACAGGACTGTGCAAGCCCATAGTGTGTGCCCTGTTGGATGAGGGTCACAGTCTTGACCAGGGATGGACCACTGATGTGTTCTACTCACTTCAAGGCTAAATGTCTTATATGTAGTCAGATCTCTCAAGTCTTTCAAAAAGTGAATGTCAATTGTTTGCTACATTCATCTGGAATCTTAGCAGTTACTCAGTATTTTTAAAAGATACTTGCTAGTGGTCAGTAATAGCACTAGTTAGTTTTCTTAGTGCACCTTCTTGTGCATGCTTTCTGGAATTCCTTACTTCCACACACGCCAAGTATCTGCAAGTATTTACTTGCAAAAGCTCCTTAGTTTCCAATTATTCATATTATTCTTTTTTTTTTTCTTTAAAACAGATTTTGAAAGAGAGTTCAGCAACTGACTCATTTCTGAATCATCATTAATTTCAGCCCACTAGTCTTTTTTTAATCCTCATTTTAATACATGGGATTTAAAGTTGTTTGTTGTTTTCATTGACTTTAGGAATGCACTGAGTTGGTGGAAAAGAAACATTATGGAGGGTAAGAAATGCTTTTGCCATCCAGGTCTCATGACTGCCCTTATTCCAGCCCTGTTCAACAAATCCTCCAGGGCTATAAGAAATTCAACAGCTAGTTCTTAAAGTCATCCAAATATTAGCAGGTCTAGAAGATCTGCCATTGGGTGAGTTGTCATTATCTCTATATTGATGACACTACTCAACAAAGGATGTACTTTGCTAGCTTGCGGTCAATTTGAACTTGCAATAAATGCCAACACTGGCATTCATTGAGATTCATTGGAAAGGAACAGCAGACGATGCAGTGAACAAGTTGACTCCTGTTGTTCCTGAAAAGCTC